TTCTGTAAAGCTCCTTTGTGACAACACCTGTTGTAAAAAGCGCTATATAAATAAACTTTGCTTTGCTGCTTTGCTTTGCTTTACAGAACACAAACATCAAATTACTGACCATAGCCGAGCAAACAGAAATCATAGCAACATAGGTTGTACACTCAGCAGCATCCTTTATTGTACTTAGCCACACTAGACAAATTAAAATGTATACCACCACTGGTTAGCTTGGCTCCAGGTGGCCAGGCGGACCCATGGCATCTCATCTGTGCCCATTCGCCTATACTTCAACACTAGCTAAGAAAGAGACCCACTTTAATTGCTAAATACAAATATTACAGCAGGAACAAAGTAGGCGACATACAATAAAACATACCTTTAATGGCCAGTGCTAAATAAGCAGCTCCAGCACCAGGGAACTCTGCTATAAACACACACCCTGCTGGCTTAGCCTAGCAGCAATTAAATGAAACTGCTCCCAGGACCCCAAGGTGTCTATGTATATGCCTGCTCCTAGGACCTCAGCTGGCTCAGTGCATGCCTGCTCCCATCCTAATTAATGGCATACCCCCCAAAAAAAGGTTCTTCTATTACATTGGCTACAATCCACCTCTTTCAAATGAATGGTGTAGGGGAATCAGAGCAGGTAAGACATCATTTATCATGCACCTCCTGGGCTCCCTTTACCAACACAGGATTATTGAGTCAGCCCTACTAACCATAGGGGTGGCTCCCCTATCCCATGTTGCTGCCCTTCTGGAACTCAACTCAACTCAGACTAATGCATCTGTCAAACCAGTACTTCTTCATAAGCCAGGGCCACTGAATATACAGCCCCCATTCCTGATGGACTTCAGACTAACTGATACACACAGGAATTCCAGTAATCTTGGACCTTATTCCAGCCCAATACACAATTCTGCAAATAGACAAGCTGCCCTTCTTTGAACCCAGAGTCATTCATTTGATCATTGTTTCATCTGTGAGCCTGCTCCTCCAATCTCTTTCCTATATGCTTGCGAACTGTCCTTAGACTCAGTTGTTGCTTTTGAATCCATTCCTCCAGTGTCTCTTCTCAGCCAACAGTGCCATACCTTTTACACAACTGCTAAATCATTGTGCTTTCAAATTTCCATCCTTGGTCAAAATGTATACAAGCTGGGGGGCTGAACCGATAAAACCAATGATGTACCAATGCTTGGGCCATGGTCCTCGCTCGCTCATCTTTAGTAGGGTCAGCTTGTGTATACTTGGTGAAGATGTCAATCAGGATTAAGACATATTCTTTGCCATCACTCGTCAATTCCAAAACTGTGAAATCAATGACCAGGATTAAATTAGATGGGCAGGCTTTAAGGTGCCCCAATATGCATAGACTTTGGGCTTTTCCCAGTACACATTTTTGACACTGTTGGCACCACAGTTCAGTGTCCTTGGCCATATTTGACCAAAAAATATCTGTTCTGTAGCAGCTGAAGAGTTCTTTCTGTGCCCTGGTGCCCATGGTCATTATGTACACTATGCAGGGCCTCTTCCTGTAAGCACTGGCAAAGAAGCAACTCAAAATTTTCTGGTCTGCCACCTGCGGGATAGCTGAGGAAGTACAATACTCCTTCTCACTTGACCAGCCAGTCCCAGTGACGAACCAGAGCCTTGCTGGAACCAGGTAAAGATTTGCACTCTTCTGTCCTTGGACACTGTCCCTCCCTACAGAACCTCCATACTGGTCTGATGACTGGGTCAGCCTTCTGCAACAGATTTTTTTGGGGTGAGCACCCTGGAAATGCACCAACTTCCCTACACTGGTTGTCTGGGATGTTCAGCTGCTCTTTCTCTGAAGCCAGGCCCACTAGTGGTGTACCATCTGTTCCAACAGAAAAATGACCCAGGAGCATTTGCACTTTGACAAGACATCTGCATTTTGATGACTTTTCCCTGGGCAATACTTAGTAGAAATTGAAAGGCTTGTTAAAGTCAGCATTTTGCCAATACTGGGGCAGAGGTAAGTTGCTCTTTCTAAAGCTGAAATGCATGCTCACCCTTCCCATTCCAACCTGTTGTCAGAGAAATATGAAGCCATTCTTTGACCACCTCAGTTTTAGCAGGGTCAGTCGCCACCCCCTCGGAAGAAACCACATGACCCAAGTAGCTCACCTGGTGCTGGAAAAACCAACACTTTGACAGTTTGACTTTCAAGTTTTGCTCCTGGAGCTGGGCAAACACTTCCTCAAGTCTTTCCAAGTGTTGCTGCACAGCAGCCAAAAACACGTAACTTCGTCAAGATACAAAAGCACAGACTGATACCGGCAGTTCCTAAAATTCACCATGAGGTGCTGAAATGTCCCTGGAGCATTACATGGTCCGAATGGCATCTGATTAAATTCGAATAACCCAAATGGGGTGCAAAAAAGCAGTCTTGAATTCATCTTTTTCAGCAAAAGCATTTGGTGGTACCCACTAGTTATGTCAAGAGTGGAGAAACATCTTGCACCAGAGAGGGCATCTAAAGACTATTGTGTCCTGGGAAGGAGATATGCATCATATTTGGCATGTTTTAGAATTCAGCTGTCGATAGTCAACACAAAGTCGAAGACTTCTATCTTTCTTGGTCACCAAGACAATAGCAGAAGAGTAAGGGCTACTGCTTTCTCTAATAACCTGACTATCCAACAGCTGTTGAATGTGAACTTCAATGGTTTCATATTGAGGGGGGGGGGACTCCCTAGATAGGGCTGGTGCACTGGAACATCATCCAGCAGTAGAATCTCATGAGTCTCAAAGTGATGCAACTCAAGTGTCCTCCTCTGGAAAATATGCTACCATACTTTGAGAAAAGGGCTTTGGCATGTGAAACCCGCTGTTCTGTCAACCCCCCAGGAATGGGAAGATCATCAGAACGACTAGTGCACATAGTCATGTCTTGTGTAGAGACAAAACCCAGACAATCTTCCTTAAGAAGGATTGACAGTAACAGGTTTCACTGTTCTCACTGATGTCACTACCACTAATTGTACAGTGCCAATTACATGGCGAGGAGGAAGCCATATGTCAGTGTTGCTGACATTAACAACTGGGGCATACAAAAGACCCTTCTTCATAAAGACATGAGTGGGGGACACAAGCAGGCCTCTGGGAAGATGTCCATCTACAAAGTCCAGAGGATCCAATAGGAACTCTGTTGAATCCAGCTGGAACGATCGAAAATGTGCCAGTACCAGTGCAAACTGCGGACCTTCCATAAAAGGCTTAGAGGCATTGAGAATGGCTTCAACCTTCTCACTGTGTCACAAAGCACACCAAACTGCTGGGACCGCCAACTGCATTGGAGAGAAATGGAAAAGCTAGGAACCATGTTGTTCAAAAAGAATCTGATAACAATCCCCAAGTACAATCATTCCCAAAATGGCGTGATTGCCTTATGACCTTGAGGGGTAACATTCTCAGGGTCTTTTACAATTAGTATTCCTCTCTTTTAACTCAGCCAACTCAGAGGATGGTCCAACTGTAGCCTCACATTGGGACATAAACCAAACTTTACTACTGCACCCCAGATTACAGTGACCCCTGTCATGACCTGGCTGACTCTCCTCCATCCACATGATGGCTTTACACTGTACGTCTAAAAGAGACACATCCCCATCAGCTCCCTATATAAAGTATGGTCCCGAACATTTTCACAGAACTGGTCCCTTAAAACTACATCAGAATTAGTGATGGAACTACTCTTACATTGTTTTACCCTGTCCACCCCCCCATGTTATCATTTAGAAGCATCTCCTTCTAAATGATAACATAAAAACATAGCTTTATCTAAATCAGACATATAACTTGATCTCCTACAGCTTTGTGGATGAGGCAACGACAGCAGTGATGTACATTTTCATTTGTCTAGTGTGGCTAAGTACAATAAGGTATGCTGCCAAGTGTACCTCCTATATTGCTATGGTTTCTGTTTGCTCGGCTATGGCCAATAATTTGATGTTTGTTTGTGTTCTAAGTAGCATGGCTACTCTGGAGGGAGAAAACTTCAAGCGTAGCTTGAGACTCAGATGTCTTTACAGTGGTGGTGATAGGAACCAGGGAGTTTATATGAATGTTGATGATGGAAAATAGTGGAAAATCTGAAATAATAAGTTTTCTTTGTGGACTATTCCCCCCCCCCAGCGCCCTGCATGTATCCCTCCACCATGAATGGAGTTTAAGTTCTCTAAACTATCATAAAACAGTGTCTCAGTCATCAGGCAGTGAATTCATAACCATTTCATGTAGGAACTTTCTGTGAGGGAGCTTTTAGAGGTGGACGTCTGGTTACTATCACCACCACTGTGAACAGTTCTGACTCTGTAAGTTTCTCTAGAACAGAGCATTTCACACCAAACCACTCTGAACGACTCTGTTTACATCTTAACCATGTAACTATGCAGAAAAAAAAATAAATTAAATTTGTGGAATGATATATCAGATTCATGGAAAAACAATTTTTACTATAATTCTAATTAATAAGAGCTATGTTGTTTTGAATCAGTGTTTTCTTCTGGAGTGCAGCTGACAGAGTTTGGGGTGTTTGTATGTGGCAGTGGGCGTGTCATGAATACTAACTGATGGATCTTCTCCATTTTTAGTGTTTTTGGCATTTATAGAAGGACAAGCACGAACAAAAGGTAGGTGTACACACAAACATACGACCTCATAATCTTTTTATACAACTTGAAAACACAGTTTGGCTGTTTCATGACACTTGATTCATGAAGTCAAGATGGGTGCGGGAACTCTAGCGGCTGAGTTTCAAACAAGCTGGAGCATGCATTACATTATGCAACTCAAGTCAAATTTACTTTCATGTCGATTTCAAACAACCAAAGTAAAGAAAAATCAGAAAATCAACAAAATAGGTCATTTGAGCAGGGGTGCCTAAATTTTTGCATACAAACAGTATAACCATCAGAGACAGAATACTCAACTATCTCTCTCTCTCTCTCTCTCTCTCTCTCTCTCTCTCTCTCTTTCAGTGTCCCTGTTTCCAGGGTTCCCCCCTCACCGTCTGTACGTGGCTGATGAGGTCACTCTGAGGTGTAAGGATGGCGGCACTGTTCTCAACAATGATGTAAAATGGTACAAAGATGGAGTCCAGCTCTCCGACAACAATCGAAATGGCAAGTTAGAAATTGCTGCGGCGACAGTGTCGGACTCAGGGAGGTACACCTGTGAGAGTGGAGGCGAGAGGAGTGATGAAGTGGAGATCAAAGTGCTGGGTAGGACATCACAACATTTAAAAAATCAACAACCACATACAAAATCAAATTAAAAAAACCAAAAAAATTGGGACAGTGTGTGAAAAGCAAACAATAACAGAAAGGAGTGGTTAGCATTTAAATTAATAATGGTACAAACTATACTGTAATTTGTATAATATAATATAACAATAACAGGAACAATAATAAAACAATAATGTAACAATATTTATTGTTTTTTGTGGGGTATAAACACAACTGCTCATTCCAAATTTGATGCACTTGCAACACAAAAAAGTTGTTACAGAAGCATGTTTACACTTTTTTAACAGCATTTAATAAACGTGTAGAGACTGAAGGCACAAACTGATTCAGTTTGAAAGAGAATTTTTTTGCTTCTTTAATCTTTATTTTTACAAGTCTTCAACTGTACTGGGTCTTCGTTGTCATATTTTGAGCTTAGGACATACATTTTCAGTGGAAACAGTCCTGGGCTGCAGGCAGGTCACACTTTCTGATTACGCAGCTGTGCTGCTATAAAACGTTTTTTTTTTTGTGTCATGGTGAAATAAATATGGACATCCCTAAAAAAAGACATCATTTAAAGGGCAACTTATGTCTCTCCAAAATGTGTTCAGTGTTAATGGAGCTTTCACAGATGTGCAGGTTACCCACTAATACCCCCTCACACACCATGACAGATGCTGGATTTTAAACTTTATGCTGGTAACAATCTGGATGGTCCTTTTCTTCTTTGGTCCGGTAAACAATGTTGATTATTTCTATAAACAATCTGGACTCGTCAGACCACAATACACATTTCCACTGAGCATCAGTCTGTTTCAGATTAGCTCAGGCCCAGAGAAGTTGGCCGTGTTTCTGGACATTCCACTGTATCTAGTACAGTTTTAACTTGCATTTGTGGATACAGCACTGAACAGTGTTTATTGATGACTCTTTGTCAAAGTATTCCTGAGCTCTTGTAGTGATATAATCACAGAAACATGTTGGTTTTTAATGCAGTGCTGTCTGAGGGGTCAAAGGTCACAGGCATTCAGTTTTGTTTTTTGGCCTTTTCCTTTATGCACCCAGATTTCTAAGAAATATTGGTCTTAAGCTGTTGGATTGTTTGCAGATGCATTTTTGCCAAAACAATCCATGCTCACTCTTAAAGGACTCCTGGCTGCTCCTTTGTATGATTACAACACCTCTTTTAAAATGTTTTCTAAACATTACACAATGTTCATAGTCTTAAATTGCCCCAGCCCCATTTTTTTAAATTGCAATTTGTAATATAATAAAAAAGCAATAGTTTGGTGAAAAATGTAAACATTTTCCTATTTACCTGAAATGTAGTCAGTCAGCAAAGAGTGAAGTTTGCTTCTTTATTTTTATTACTTGAGTAATGAGGCTAAAGTAGCTACAAAACATAATAAACTCATACTTTACCAATTAGCATTATGCTTAAATGCTTTCAACAAAATTAAATCAGATAAAAATGAGTTAAGTATGTTTGTCCCATGTTGTTTCTTAGTTTTAAAAAGCTAGAAGGTTATATAAGATGTGTCCAGAATGATGGACAGAGCTGTAGAATGTTCTAAAAGGACTGAGAAGGCTGTAGAACATCAAAAATGAAGTTATAATAAAATGAACATCCAAACTAAAATTCAGATAAAAGTAATATCCAGAATGAAGTTCTAATAAAATAATATCTGGAATGAAGTTCTAATAAAAATCACATCCAACATAAAGTTTTGATAAAATTAGCATCTAAAATAAAATTAAGATAAAATTAACATCCATAATGTAGTTCTAATAAAATTTATATCCACAATAAAGTTCTAATAAAATTAATATCCAGAATGAGGTTCTAATAAAAATAATATTCAGAAAGACGTTTTAATATTATTACTTCAATTTATCTATTATAAAAAATTATAAATTAATAATTACAGTGTAGCATTTACAGTATGCAACAACTCGTTGTTATTCTGAAATATTGCATAAAACATTTGTAACACCCTTTGGTGTCTAGTTTATAAGATTTAATTGTACAGAATATAATAAAAATAAGAAGTAATATAAATATATGTATAATAAGTATAATAAAGTGTAATAAGTGATTGTAAATTTTGTATGAAACTTTTCTTCATTTTTATAAATATTATGCTGTGGCTGATGTGCTATATTTTCAGTTCTCTCTCTCTCTCTCTCTCTCTCTCTCTCTCTCTCTCTCTCTCTTTCTCTCCTCCTCCTCTGGCAGACATGGTGCCCCTGGCATCGCTCTCTTTTTTAAACAGAGCGAAGACTGTTCTAGGTAAAGGAGGTGCGGTTCTCATGGAGCTCTACGTGGAGGAGGGGCTGAATGACTGGTGGTGTCGTTATACAGAAGGTGAAGGTGAAAAGTGGCTCCCTTTGCTGCCAGAGAAGTGGACGAACAGCAACCGCAGTGTGGTCATACACGCTAACGTTGAACATGTAGGCGGCAGGATCTTCTGGTGCATGAACACTAAGGGGAGTCCAAAGGAGGAGCGTCCACGCAGTAACGCCGTCAAGCTCACAGCTACAGGTGAGATCTTCAGTTCCAGAGGCGCTCAGTCTGAGGCCCTGAGTGGGTTCATGCTCTGTGTGGTTTCATGCAACAACACCTGCTGTAGGGCACAGAATGGTTTGACGAAGATACATGCAGACTAAAAGCTTCCCAGCAGTAATAGTTTTTAAAACCATTTTTCAATTTGCAATGGATTTTACAAAGGAATTCCGTTTACAAATTCTGGTAATAATTTATTTCTTACTAGTCAACACTAACTTTGTACCAGTCAATATAGAATATTTGTTTGTGGAATTTTAATTTTCAAAGGGGCAAACTGAATTCCTGAGATCAAGAAAAATCATCTTGCCATAGTAAATAGAATTTCGACATGTCAATTAAATTTTTAATTGTAATAGAGATACCAAATGTTAAACTTTTGATTTATGTAGAACTTGTTACGGCAATTATATGGATTTGGAAAAAGGCTTTAATTATTAGCAAATTAAGACAAATTTTATGACAAATTAAGTCTTACATACCAAAATATAATCCCTATAATTAAATTCAGATTTTTAGATTTTTTAAGTCTATTTTTATGTTTTTTTTTCAAGTATCAACTTTTTGTCTCGATTAAAAGTTAAAAGTATATTTTCCAAACAGTTTACTTGTATTTGCAGCACTTCTCTTAAAACTCTATTTCTGAGAATTTAGATTTTCTTTGTGTCTTTTTTATTCATTTCTTTCATTGTCTCTATTTTGGCAGCCAAATAGAGCTTCATTTGGTCAGTCTTTAAATTCTATGGCCTCATTTAAATATGTATTATGATTGGCTCTTGGTTAGGAGACTAGTGAAAATGCCACAATGTTAAAAAGACACTGGTGTGTTAATCACTGGCATGGTGTCTTTATGAATAGCGCTTATGTACTGTGCTGCACATTTTGTGTGGTTTAGCATGGTTATCGTCAAATTTTATGAATCTGAATCATTGTTCCTAGCGTTGCTTTCAGGGGCCCTGCCACTACAATTATCCAAGATGTCTTGGTCTGCTGAAGCATTAAGATTTCCCTTCACTGGAACTAAGGGTTCTAGACCAACTCCTGAAAAACAGCCCCATATCATCATCTCTCCTCCACCAAACTTTACAGCTGGCACAGTATATATATATATATATATATATATATATATATATATATATATATATATATATATACTCTATATGGAAAAAATATATATCTCTCCCACTTTTCTGTCTGTCTTTCTCCTAGAGAAAATGGTGATGCTGCAGATATCCCAAAGGCCAGCGTGGTCGGGTGATACTGTCTCTCTGAGCTGTGATGTGAAGGGTGGTGCACAGGTGGACCAGGCTGTGTTTTATAAGGATGGGACAGAAATCAAAAACGATGCATCAAAGGATACAGTTGTCATCTCAAATGTTGCAAAGTCTGACCAAGGCATGTACGCCTGCAACGCCACCTACAGGTTCACCCACATCAGTGAAGATGCACCAACCCATAACATGCTCTCCGATCAACAGATTCTTACAGTCATAGGTAACATAAACACAGTAATAACAGCACCAATGCACAACAATACACAGTGACAATACAGTACAAGAACAAAGTTGTAAACAAATCACAGTGATGTCAAAATACACATATTAATATGTTCATAATAATTCATAAACACTCACAATCCATTCATAATACAGTCATGTCACATTCATACAACATTCATGATGCATCAATAAAGCATTCATAACACATTCATAACACAATCATATCATTTCACATCATTGATAAAACATTTATAACATTCAGATACATTTATGCGTAATATATTTTACCTAAGGAATTTATATTTCCTGCTTTATTTGGGGGAAAAAGTTTCATTCAACAGTTTCATGTGGTATTTGTTTACCATGACTGTATATATGACTAATGTGTTTGATGTGGTAGACGGTCCTCCTATGGCCCACCTGGACTGTGAGAAACTGTACTGTGAGTGCCAGAAGTGTAGAGATTCTGACTCCTACCGCTGGCATTACACTCCCCCTGGAGAAACACGAACAGTGGTACTGGAGGAGTCTGACTACTACATCAGCTCTAAGTGGGCTGGGACGTACACCTGCTCTGCCAAATTTGAGGGGATAGGCCAGTCCCGCCACAGCAACGAGTGTATCCTGAAAGGTAAACACACACTTTCATACTCTCTTTTTGTCTTGAACAGGTACTTTTCACACTTCCATCTTTCAGTGAGGTGATCATGTTGGTCCCCATGCTGAGCTGATCTGCCCTAATGTCATCCTTAAAAAATGCCCTTTAGGATCCAATCCACTTGGACCCATTTACATAGTGTTATTAGGTAATGTAGTGGTTAATGCCACTGCCCTCCATACAGCAATTTCCCTGCATAGGTATGCATGTTTGCTTTTCTTTGGTACAGATGTTAGCTGTACCAATAGGAATTCTTGGGCAGGTTTTGTCCTGGCTTGTCTTGTGTCAAACCAGACTAGTCCTAATTGAAGCCAGACTAGTCCTGTGTCAAGCCAAACCTTTCTGAGGCAAGCCAGACTCGTCCTTAGGCAAGTCAAGCTGGCCCTGAGGCAAGCCAGGCTAGTCTTGAGTGAAGTCAGAATAGTTCTGTGTCAAGCTAGTTTAGTCTTGAGCCAAGCCACGCTAGTCCTGGGTCAGGCTACTCCTGAGTCAAACCAGACTACTCCTTAGTCAAGCCAGCATAGGTTTAAGTCAAGACAGATGATTCCCAAGCCCCATGGTTGGTACAGTGTAGTTGGTAAAACAGCTCCCTCTCCACCTGGGCAAGCACTCTATGCTATATCTGCCTGCATTTGTAGCATAAATAAAAATATTATTAAAAGTGCCTCTCAGATGCAGAAAAGTGCCTCTCAGATGCAGTAAATGTTGAATTCCAGAAAGTTGATTCCAAGTCAAATCAGGCTAGTCTCAAGTCAGACAAATCCTGAGTAAACCCAGACTAGTTCTGAGTCAAGCCAGGCTGGTCCTGAGCCAAGCCAGGCTAGTCTTGAGTCAAGCCAGCCTGGTCCTGAGCCACGCCAGGTTTGTCTTGAGTCAAGCCAGGCTGGTCTTGAAGCAAGCCAGGCTAGTCTTGAGTCAAGCCAGGCTGGTCTTGAAGCAAGCCAGGCTAGTCTTGAGGCAATCCAAGCTAGTTCTAAGGCAAGCCAGACTAGTCCTGAGTCAAACCAAGCTAGTCTTGGTCAAGTCCCAAGCCCCAAAGTTGGTATAGTGTAGTGGGTAACACAGATTCCTCCCACCTAGACAAGCACACCACTCTATATCTGCATTTATACGATGATTGAAAAATATTTTTAAAAGTTTTCGCCAAATGCAGTAAATGTAAATGTAATGGAGGCAAACTGATCCCAAGTCAAACTGGACTACTCTGGAGTCAGATAAATCCTGAGTTAAGCCTGTCTGGTTCTTAATCAAGCCAGGCTGGTTCTGAGTCAAGCCAGGCTAATCCTGATTCAGGCAAGATTTGTCCTGATGCAAGCCAGGCTAGTCCTGATTCAAGCCAAGCTGATCCTGAGGCAAGCAATTAGTCTGTTGGAAATCCAAGGTAGTCTTGAGTCAAGACAGACAAGCCTCAAGCCCCACAGGTGGTATAGTGTAGTGGGGAACATAGCTCCCTCTCCACATTGGCAAGTACACCATGCAATATCTGCCGGCATTTGTATCTTAAATAAAAATATTATTAAAAGTGCATACCAGATGTGGTAAATGTAAATGTAATGGAGGTAAATTGATCCCAAGTCAAACTGGGCTAGTCCTGAGTCAGACAAATCCTGAGTTAAACCAGACACACACTGGATCAGATTTACACAAACATCAAATAGGCATTCAGGGCAGTCCCTCACCCCCACCTTGGAAATTCGGACCATCTCTCTGTTATGCTAATTCTAGCATACAGGCCACTGCCAACCAGAAGCATGCCATCTGTGGAATGTGTTCAGAGAGGCTGCCACTGTCAAACAACACGTTAAACTGGGGGAGTATGCTGAGTCTGTGATGGGATTCATATCCAAGTGTGTGGAAGATGACCGTCATCAAGAATATCACCACACATGCCAACCAGAAACCCTGGCTCACCAGAGAGGTACATGCACTTCTGCTAGAGTCAACTTGAACGGAGCGTGAGAGCAGCAAGGCATGCTCATGGTCCGAAAATCCAGAGGCACTTCACTGGCTCAAAAGACCCCAGGCACTTGCGGCAAGGTATCCAGTCCATCACAGACTACAGGTCCCCCCCACCACCACCCTGCGATGACAACACTGACTTCCTCAACACTCTCAATACCTACTTCAGCTGGTTTGAGAAAAATAACACTACCACAGTAATGAAAGCCCCTCTCAGTCTGGATGTACTCTGTCTCGACCCAGCTGATGTCCAGAGGACCTTACACAGGGTCAACCCACGGAAAGCTGCAGGTCCTAACAACATACCAGGGTGTGTACTCAGGGAATGTGCTGACCAACTGACACACATCCTCACAGACATCTATAACACCTCCCTGAGCCAAAGCATCGTTCCCTTGGGCTTCAAGGCCACTTCTATCACACCACTACCAAAGAAGTCACCAGCATCAACACTTAATGACTACCGCCCTATAGCACTCACTCCCATCATGATGAAGTGCTCTGAAAATTTGGTCAGAAATCACATAACATCGAGACTCCCGACAACGCTTGACCCACTCCAGTTTGCATACCACCCTAACCGCTCCACTGATGATGCCATATCAGCAGCACTTCACATGAGTCTGGCCCATCTGGAGAATAACAACAGGCATGTGCAGATGCTCCTCATCGACTTCAGCTCCACCTTCAATACAGTCATCCCCATGCACTTGGTATGGAAACTTGTTAAGGAAACCCATTAGGCATCAACACTCTACTGTGCAACTGGTTACTGGACTTCCTCACAGACAGACCCCAGACGAGTTGAGAGAAACATCTCTAAAACTATCATCATGAACACTGGAGTTCCCCAGGGCTGTGTGCTGAGCCCTCTGTTGTTCACCCTCATGACTCATGACTGTTGTGCCAAGTACAACTCGAACCACATTATTAAGTTTGCAGACGATACAACAGTCGTGGGCCATGACATTATCAGCAACGATGATGATTCGGCCTACAGAGAGGAAGTGAACCAACTCATCATATGGTGTGAAAATAACAACTTGTCACTGATTGTCGACAAGACAATGGAAATTATTGTCGACTTCAGGAGGAAGCACATGGTACATACTCCACTTACAATCCATGGTAACACTGTGGAGTCAGTGAGAAGCACCAAGTTTTTGGGAGTGCACATCACGGACGACCTGACATGGACTACACACTCCACCTCCCTTGTCATGAGGGCACAGCAGCGCCTTCGCTCCCTATGACAGATAAGAAGCACACACCCCCCTCCTCACAACTTTCTACAGAGGCACTATAAACAACATCTTGACCAGCAGCCTCCCAGGGTGGTATGGCAGCTGCACTGCCGCAGACAAGAAGTCCTTCCAGTCAGTGGTGAGTATGGCAGAGAGAATCATCAGAACCCCACTTCCATCCATACAAGATCTCTACCTGTCATGCAACCTCAGCAGAGTCACCAAGATATTCCGAGACCCCACCCACCCTGCCCATGGACTGTTCAGCCTTCTGCCCTCTGGCAAATGCTACTGCAGCATGTGGTGCAAGGTCGCCAGACTCAGCAGGGGCTTCTTCCCACAATACTTTTTCTATACAACCTACTAAATGCGTAGCTTTTTAATTATTAATATTGTCATAGATCTGGTCACACTGGAGTTGTTTCCAACAGATCCTCCTGATGCGTTCAACGCCCAAGAAAACACTGAGGAGCAGTTATCAGAGGTAAATAATTCTCAGGCATAAATCAGCAATGTGTGATGTGAAATAACATCAGCACAGTTTGTTTAGTCCCTGACATTTATGCAGTTGTAAAATCATGAATGTGCCAGCTGCCCATGCCATAGCAATGCTTGCTTTTCAATTCGATTTATACACTGTTGTGTACAATGATTAGTGATGTATTAAATACCACCCAAGCATTTAAAACACGTCCCACTCATCATATAAGCAGTAAGGATAATAGTAAAATGATTAAACATGTTCAAGAGTTGAGAAAAGTGAGAAGTTGAACAATGAATAACCTGTAAATGATGAAAGGAGGAGTAATAAAAGTTAAATAAAAGTTATTAGTTGTAGTTTATTTTATGCACTGTTTGGAGATGATGAAAAAAAGATTTAAAAGAGAGTTGCTTTGCCCTCTGTTTATATATCAATACTATGTCTTAAAGGTGCCTCAGGAGGCAGAGATACAGCTGTCACATTTGCTGCCTGACTGTGACCCTCCTCAGGCCAAGCATTTAAGGACAGAAGAGATGGTGGACATCCAGCGTCAGCTTCTACAGGAGGTTTCAGCGCTTCGTAAGGTGCAGGAAGAGCTGTTGAAGGTTGAGAGAGAAAAGCTGGAACTTGAAAAAGAAAAACTACAACTGCAGAAAAAAGAAATATAAAGGTATTTAATAAGTAATATTTCAGAAATAGTAGCTATCTCATGTCTTTCTTTAATGTCAGGATCAGACAACACAAATTCAGCCTGATTCTGAACAGCAATGTGGCATCTGGGACACCCTGATGAAAAGTCTGGCATGTCAGAATTTTTTGTATTTTCCTGCCTAGTCTGACGTCTCACGACGCATTTCTTGATGTTGACCAATAGGCTGACAGAGCGCTGTCTGGCACACATATGCAAACACAGTGAAAAGAAAGTGATGTTGCTGTTACAGCTGTCAGGAGGAACAATGAAAGAGAGGCAAGGTTCTCTGAGCTGTGGCAGCAGGACCCCTGCCTTTCTGACACTTCCTCGAGCGAGAACCATAACAGTCCAAAAAGATAAATGTTCAAGAGAAACATTGTTTATAGCATCTGTTTACATACAGCAGACCTGGTAGCTGCTTTTGTATGATGTTTTAGATATGTTAAGTTCTCTTTGAAGGACAGACAGCCCACACTGTCCTCTTCTGATACCCAGGAACATCTCCACAATGCTTTTTATTTCTTTTCTTTTTCTTTTCAGAACACAAAACTGCCAGCATCACACAGTCACATTTATCACATATTGTGTCCCATCGACTATACCAAGTAAATTTGGAAATCCAGCAATGCTGAAGAATTTCCTTTGTTTGAATTTGCTCTGCACCGATTATTGGGATCTTGATAAAGTTCCTTACTCTCCTGCAGAGGGCATTTGACACAGCATTCACCACACAACTCTCAGATGGCTGGTTCATGTATGTTCATATTACGAGCGAAAGTGACTCAAATCTTTCACTAATGTGAAGAAACCTGCGTCATGAAATGACCAGCATTCACATCATAATCAATAATGTCACGAGAATGAATCACATGCGTCCCAAACAGCAAACAAACTAACGAGAAGAGCGAGTCTTCGCTGCGGAGATAATCAGTTCTGAGCAGGTATGAAGGTGAAAAAAGGGTCATATATGATGTTTTTCCACCATTTACTGGTTCTAACTTAAGGTTAAGTGCTGCTGCTGCATTAACGATAAATGATGGCGCACATGCAGTAAAAAGGTGCCACAGTACTAAAGCTCATATAGACGTGATGGTTAGGTGTCCACATATTTTGTACATATGTGTACATATGATTTTTAGGTGGTGCAGCCTCAGTGATCTGCAGAAATGCAGAAATTAACCTAAAACATCTCTCTGTCTGCTTTCTCCCCCTCTCCCATCTATCTATCTATCTATCTATCTATCTATCTAGAGAATGAGAGTGGACGGCCCAACTTCATTGCGCCACTGGTGGTGGGGCTGTTTGTGGCAGGGTTGCTGATACTGTTGGTGACATTGTTTATCTGCAACAGACTCAAGAACAAGGGTGTGGACAATGAATACATGCAACATAAATACAATAGTACTAATAATTTTTCACTTTAAATTAATTGCTTTCGACTTAATCTTTTTTAAGTTTTATTTTTGTAACTATTTTTGCAAATGTCTTTCTGTGGTGTCAGATCTCAGGACCTCATAAGTTTTATCCTTAATACTTTTATTTTTCTGTGTTTGTGTAAAACACTTTGAATTGCCACTGTGAAAACATAAACGACAATCTGAGGGGTCCAAGCACTTAGTAGTCCAGTGAAGCCTAATGTGCAATCATGGGGAAACATAATAAACAGAAGAAAAAATGATAGGCAGCCATCTAGAGTTTATAAAAAGTTCTCCTTTGTCAAGACTGTCAATGAGGCCATTAGACATTCTTTTCTACACTACACACTACAATCAACAAAAGCAAAAGCACAAACATAACCAGGCGGACAGTCCACAATGGGTCAAGCAAAAGGCAGGTCAAAAAACAGGGCAAATTAGTCAGAACCAGAAATATACACAGCACAGAAGAAAATGCGCAGTAGTTCTTAGGAAAGAAGCAATACCTCGCAGAGAACCTATCCTACAAGCCAGGGCTTTATACTAAACTAATCATTGGACTACAAGTAAACATAATCAGTACTGTGGAGAGTTAGAGCGCTGATTGGAGCGTGAGAGTGAGGCAGGAGTCACATGATCCCCCAGGGGGTTCTGGGAGATGGAGTTCAAAGAGGCCTCAGAGACAAAAGGAGTCGTGACAGTAGGGTTTTGCAAAAAGAAGTTGAAAAGTTTCCCTATGGCAAACTGGGGTCAGTTTTGTTGCATGATATATATATATATATATATATATATATATATATATATATATATATATATATATATATATATATGGAATTTCGTCAGAATCATAAAGTAGTTTCCACTGTTTTAGTCAAATATAGTCTAATCCAGAAGAATAAGTTGGCTTGTGGTGGCCATATTGTTTATAATGTAAAAAATGTTTTGAGTAAAACTTAAGTCTCTTCTGAATGTTTTGGGTGATGATCAGGCAAAAATCCAGAGACTAGTTTTGCAAATTAACTCAAAAACTAAGTGGGTGGAGTACAAAGTAATCCAGGCTGGATTTGTTCAGCAGGTTTCAATGAATCAGAAGAAAAATTAATTTTGTCTCTATTTCACTCTGATCTAAAGCAAAAATAGGTTTAAAATATATGTGAAAGTTTGTGTATGTGGTGTAGTGCCCAACTGGGGTCACTGTTGTTGTATAGGGTCAGGGTCAGCACGTGAACACAGCCTCCAAGTTTTGTGTTTTTACAAACTTACAGTTTGGGTTCCGCAAATTTTGTGGTCATGATCTAAGCAAATTCTCCTTCAAACTGACAGTCATGACAATTGTATGCAAACACCTGACAAATTCTTGTTATTCCGATAAGTTACTGTACACTAAAATGCACAGCCAATGGCATAATAAATGCTAATTTTGGGGATAAATGCTACATGGTGTCAAACGCATATCTGGTGCAACAGTGCCAGTTCAAAAGATACGACCTCCTGGCCATGGACAACTGACAGTGATGGACCAAATAACAGTGGCCAACTGTCTATTTCTAAATGGTTATTTTCATTTGCTTCATACCTACATATCATCTTCACGACTTATGCACAAAAATATGTTTCTCAGTCTTCTTACAGGCTGAAAAGAAAAACCTACAATACCAGTGATGATATACCAGTAACCATATGGACAAAAAATATTGGCATGTACCTCTTAATCATTGAATTCAGGTTTTTAATTCAGGTGTCCCATTTCCACAAATGTATAAAATCAACTACCTAGCCATGCAGCCTGCCTTTACACACATTAGTGAAAGAATGGGTGGTTGTAAAGAGCTCACTGAATTTGAGCATGGTGCTGTACTAGGATTACAAATTTTCATTCCTCCTAGATTTTCCACAATCAACTGTGAGTGTATTATTGAAAAGTGGAAGCGTTTAGGAACCACAGCAACTCATCCATGAAGTGTCAGACCAGGTGAAGTTACAGAGCGGGTCTCCGAATTCTGAGGAGCATAGAGCATAAAAGACACCAATGCTCTGCTGATCAATAACTGCAGAGTTCAAACCTCCTCTGGCAGCAACATCAGCACAGAAACTGCGCCGGGAGCTTCATGGCAGGGTTTCCATGGCCGAGCAGCTGCATATAAGCCTTACATCACCAAGCACAATGCCAAGCGTCGGATGGAGTGGAGTAAAGGGCCTCCACTGGACTCTGGAGCAGAGGACCTGTATTCTCTGGAGTGATGAATCAGCTTCTCTATCTGTCAGTCTGATGGACGAGTCTGGGTTTGGCGAATGCCAGGAGAACGTTACCTGCCTGACTGCACTGTGCCAGCTGTAGAGTTTGGTGGAGGAGAGATGATGATATGGGGCTGTTTTTCAGGGGTTGATCTAGAACCCTTAGTTCCAGTGAAGGGAAATCTTAATGCTTCAGACATTTTGGACAATTGTGCACTTCCAACTTTGTGTCAGCAGTTTGGGGAAGAACCTTTCCTGTTCCAGCATGACTGAGCCCCAGTGCCCAAAGCAGCTCCATAAAGGCCTGACTGGGTGAGTTTGGTGTGGAAGAACTTGACTGACCCTCACAGAGCCCTGACCTCAACCCCATCAAACACCTTTACAAGCTCAGGATGAAAACAAAAGTGTTTAATACTTTCAAATGTCCAGGAGAAAACTGGCAAATCAGGACTTTTTTTTTCCATGGTGTCTAGGTAGACATAGCTAATCAAGCTGACCTATTAGTTAGGACTGAAGACACGTCCTAACTATCAGCGCGATTATGGAGTGACAGAAGAATCAACCATCCATGTTTTGAATTAAAATGGGAGGGACCAATTCTTGCAGAAAAAAGTCATTCTAGGCCTTCAGGAAGTTCTAGATCATGAAGACAAGTGGCAGAAGCTTAAAATGTCTGTGTTGAATCTGGAAAAGCCAAAAAATGCTTGTGTGAATTGCCATTAGCTTAGCGCTAACAAACTATTAGAATCCCAAAAGGATGCAAGCAGAAGTTGTCATATAGGTGGGTTTTCCTTGTGTTTTAACAACATTTTGACATTTAAACTGAAGGCCTAGCTCTAATAGTGACAGTTCACCATTGTA